AATTGCAGCAATAAACTCTGAAATGCAACATTTAAACAATTTCAACATTTAAATTCTGAATTTCTACATTTAATCTCTGTATTGTAACATTTGCAAAATTTTAACTCAGATTTCACTATTTGCAATTCAAAGTTAAAATGTCACAGTTCAGTCTTCGGGATTTGCACCATATAAACTCTAAATTGCTCCTCAGAATTATTAGAAATAACCTTGTAAATGTTTGGTGCTTCTGGATTTTCTTAATTGTGATTTTTATATCTTGTAGTTTTGAGCTTGTTTTACAGCTTTGATTTTTTTTTTCTCCTCATGGAAACAAGTTTGTGTAATTATGATTGCATGATCTGAGATTAAATTTATCCTCAACTGTGGTAAAATACCTTTCATGCATTTTTATCTGTAATTATTTTAAGTTGATATTTTCTGCATATCTCTATATTAAAGCATGGTCGGTGTGGTGGTGCGCTAGTAAACATCCTCCCTGATGTTTGTAATGGATTGCAGGTGCTTTTGTTCATCCAATTAACATCGAATAACAATTAGCAAGCTGGCTATTTAATAGCAGACCACTGGAAGCAGATGAGATGAGATGAAATGAACGCTGGAGGGCTTAATGAGCATTAGAGATTATTACACAGATCATGGAATAAACAGATTATCCAGCGCGCTCAACAACTTTTGACGGATGTGTTTGAAGAAGTCTTGCTGATTACTGCCGGTATCATGATCTGCATTATTAGCTACTTTGAGGACAAACAAACACATCAGGCTCGTCTTTCAGCTCACAAATAACAGAAACCATGTTTACAATCATGTTTTAGGATAAATGCAAAATATTGATCCGAATAATCTGTTTTTCTTTTTCTTTTTCTTTAATTTAAATAGTTTAATTTAATGAGAAGAATGGCTTAAATCACATGAGAAATGTTTATTTTATTTTGCTTCATGTGGAGCATGTTTTTAAAAATCCAAAAAAAAAGTCAATTAAATCTATAAAATAAAAATAAATATTGACAAGTTCAGTTTTGCAGATTTTTGGCTTTGCTGATTTGCTGAGTTTGTTTTAATTAGTTAACTAGTTTGTGTAAATATAATTTTTTTTTGTATAAAACAAGTCATTTCAATTCACCAATTCAGTTTTGCACAATTTTTGTCACAAATACATGTTAATAATAATAATATTAATAATAATAATGTAAAATAATTTTGTAATCATTAAGGTGCCTATTTTTACAGTTTGTGTTGTGATTTCAGTAAAATAGACACTGTAAAACCCCAAAACGTAAGGTAACTCAATCCGTTTGAGGAAACTGCTTGCAACAAACCATTTAAGTTTAAAAACTAATCCTAATGAGTACTGTGAACCTAATGTATTTAAGTAAACGAAGCAATTTGAGCACAGCAAACCCCAATAAATGAAGAGAACTCTACCTAACTGAGTACTGTAAAACCCAATAAGTTAATGCATCTCAAACCATTTGAGGAAACCCATTGCAACAAACCATTTGAGTTAAAAACTAATCCATATGAGTACTGTGAACTTACTCCATTTAAGTTGAAGTAATGAGGTATTTAATGAACTCTTATAGACACACAGTGCTTTTTAAAAAAAAGATTTTAGAGCTGCATATGAGTGCTGTTCTCTTGATGACATGGCTGCTTGTCAGGTCTGGATGAATGACCTAAAGTAGTCATACATGCTAATGCAGAGGGCATGGCCTGTGAGTCTCATCACAGTTTGTTTTGTCCACTGGAGTTTTACAATTGTGGAATTTACATGAGAATGAGGAAACAGTGGTGTCTGAGGCTCACAGTATGCCTATTTCCATATACTGATCTCTTTTTTTATTCGACTATGCCTTCGCATAACCAGATTTTCATTCTAGGGCATCTTTAAATTTACACTATAAAAAAGCTTTTAACATATTTCACTTATAATTTTTCTTTAAAATTTACAACATAAGTAAAAATAAATAAAAAGCTTTTTTTTCCTCCTTGAATTATTCTTTCAAATGAAATTCGGTCGAATAAATCAAACTTTCAATTTTAAATTTACTTAAAAACCCTGTATATCATAATGCTCTAAATTCCCATCAGTTCTTGTATAACTAAGGCTCTCTTTCCATGTGGCAGCGCTGGTTTTTGTAGCCTGCGGCGGATCTTTATCTGCTAAAGGAAGCGAGTGTTTGACTGTACTGATTCTCCTCAGAAAACACTCTCACTGCACTTTCCTTTTCATCATCCAGACGCCGGAGCAAAATCATTGACCCAAACCTCTTTGTTGTTGGACTCCACCAGCGCTCGACTCTTTCACACACATTTCTCCTGCCGTCTCTCTTAGAAAGCTGACCGTTTGCTTTCAAAATGTGTCTGAAGAAATAACCCAGCGTCCGTTCTTCATCTCTTTATTAACCCCTTAACTGACCGCAGCACTTTTTGGGCATAGATGCGACAGTGATGCGATGTTTCACTTGCATTGTTTGAAATCTTCAACGTGTTGGAAACAGATTTAACCTTGGTCTCATGTTAAAGAATACACTTGTCAGATTATAGCTGATGTGAAAAAGTTCTATAAAGCAGAAGTTATGTATGTCTAGGTTGATGAAAATAAAACAATACATGTAAATTCCAAATTTGAAGTTGATAGCTCAGAGTTTGCAGTTTTAGTGCAACATTGGTGTGGAATGAATTGTCTGAAATGAAATACCAATAAGACCAAAGAAATGATTGTTGATTTAAGCAGACATCCACAACAAGTGGTGATTATACAGGAGTCAGCAAGTGAGATGGTGTCATCATATACTGTAGGTACCTGTGTGTATATCAGAATAACAAGCTCGATTAGTCTGAAAATACAATTCAGGGGTACAAAAAGGGACAAAGTCACATTCATTTATTAAGATGACTGAGGTCCTAGTGTGTCAGACATTGTTAAACCTATTTTATCTATCTTTAGTATGAAGAAAATGCAACATTTAAACTCTGAAATGCAACATTTAAACTCTGAATTGCAACATTTCAACTTTGAAACGCAACTTTTAAACTAAAAAATGCAACATTAAGGCTAAATTGCAACATTTACACTCTGAAATGCAACATTTAAACTATAAAATGCAACATTTCAACTTTGAATTGCAACATTTAAACTCTGAATTGTAACATTTAAACTTTGAAATGCAAATTTTAAACTATAAAATGCAACATTTAAGCTAAATTGCAACATTAAACTCTGAAATGCAACGTTTAAACTCTAAAATGCAACATTAAACTCTGAAATGCAACATTTAAACTCTAAAATGCAACATTAAACTCTGAAATGCAACACTAAACTCTGAAATGCAACATTTAAACTCTAAAATGCAACATTAAACTCTGAAATGCAACATTAAACTCTGAAATGCAACATTTAAACTCTAAAATGCAACATTAAACTCTGAAATGCAACATTAAACTCTAAAATGCAACATTTAAACTCTAAAATGCAACATTTAAACTCTGAAATGCAACATCTAAACTTTAAAATGCAACATTAAACTCTGAAATGCAACGTTTAAACTCTAAAATGCAACATTAAACTCTGAAATGCAACATTTAAACTCTAAAATGCAACATTAAACTCTGAAATGCAACACTAAACTCTGAAATGCAACATTTAAACTCTAAAATGCAACATTAAACTCTGAAATGCAACATTAAACTCTAAAATGCAACATTTAAACTCTAAAATGCAACATTTAAACTCTGAAATGCAACATCTAAACTTTAAAATGCAACATTAAACTCTGAAATGCAATATTTAAACTCTAAAATGCAACATTAAACTCTGAAATGCAATATTTAAACTCTAAAATGCAACATTAAACTCTGAAATGCAACATTAAACTCCGAAATGCAACATTAAACTCTGAAATGCAACATTAAACTCTGAAATGCAACGTTTAAACTCTAAAATGCAACATTAAACTCTGAAATGCAACGTTTAAAGTCTAAAATGCAACATTAAACTCTGAAATGCAACGTTTAAAGTCTAAAATGCAACATTAAACTCTGAAATGCAACATTAAACTCTGAAATGCAACATCTAAACTTGAAATGCAACATTTAAACTCTGAAATGCAACATTAAACTCTGAAATGCAATATTTAAACTCTAAAATGCAACATTAAACTCTGAAATGCAATATTTAAACTCTAAAATGCAACATTAAACTCTGAAATGCAACATTAAACTCCGAAATGCAACATTAAACTCTGAAATGCAACATTAAACTCTGAAATGCAACGTTTAAACTCTAAAATGCAACATTAAACTCTGAAATGCAACGTTTAAAGTCTAAAATGCAACATTAAACTCTGAAATGCAACGTTTAAAGTCTAAAATGCAACATTAAACTCTGAAATGCAACATTAAACTCTGAAATGCAACATCTAAACTTTGAAATGCAACATTTAAACTCTGAAATGCAACATTAAACTCTGAAATGCAACATTTAAACTCTAAAATGCAACATTAAACTCTGAAATGCAACATTTAAACTCTAAAATGCAACATTAAACTCTAAAATGCAACATTAAACTCTGAAATGCAACATCTAAACTTTGAAATGCAACATTAAACTCTGAAATGCAACATCTAAACTTTGAAATGCAACATTAAACTCTGAAATGCAACATCTAAACTTTGAAATGCAACATTAAACTCTGAAATGCAATATTTAAACTTAAAAATGCAACATTTAAACTCTAAAATGCAACATTAAACTCTGAAATGCAACATCTAAACTTTGAAATGCAACATTTAAACTCTGAAATGCAACATTTACACTCTGAAATGCAACATTTAAACTCTAAAATGCAACATTAAACTCCGAAATAACTAAATTGCAGCATTTAAACTAAATTAATATATGTAAAGTTGTATATTTTGTAGTTTTGAGATTATGCACGTTTGTAATCAGGCTTCTGTAGATTTCTGATCTGGTTCTGTCATCTCTCTTTCTGCAGGGCAACCTTCCCAAATACTCGCACAATTCTCTGGTGGTGCAGGCGATGAAGACGAACATGACGGATCCAGACATGCACGTGCTGTTTTTCGACGTGGAGGCGGTGATCATCCAGTTACTGACGGAGGAGGCGCAGAGACCCAATCCCACACTCGTCTCTCCTGAAACCCTGCAGAAAACACCCGGCGGAGCTGATAAAGGCGGATCTTTCCTGGCCAATAAGATCTTTAAACAGGTCAGAAAACCGCACTTGCTTACTGCTCAAGCTAAAACTTCCAATGCCCCCCATCCATGTAATGTAATGACTGAGGGCGCAGGTGAGACGTCATTTTTCGGGAGACACTCAAAAACATCACGTGCGCTGCGTATGCGACAAGTCATGTAAAACAATACATTGCAAACTGAAATAAAATTAGTTTGATTATATGCTTTAGAGTTTGATGTTTTATGAGATTATTGACATTTCTTGTGATTATTTCCCGTTTAATTAAGAATTTTGCAGGATTGTAAAATTTTGCGACTTTTTGTTGGTTTTGCGTTGGATTCAGCGAAAAACTAGAGGGTCTGATATATAAACATGAGCTAATAGTCAGGGATCCACCGATATTATTTTTTTTGGAACTGATCCCGATACCAAAATTCTGAGTATCAATTGATACAGATCTGATCCCGATACTGTGCTGTATTTTTTCATTTTTTTAACCTAATACAGTTTCTATAGTTGTGGTGCTCAAATAATATATCTTCTTTAGGAAAAATAACATACCTATAAGCCTGCTGTATATGATAGATTACACACTTTAAAGGGCCATGAAACCCCCTCGTTTCAGCAGGGTGTTTTCACACCTCTACTTTGGAAAAAGTCAGAAAAGTGGGCGTGTCCAGCTCTGTTTAGGGGGAGTGTCGGAGGAAGAAAAGTGGGATGGTGTGGGAGTGTCTATTTGTGCACGCGCGAGTTTCAGAGTCAAAATACACACACACACAGACAGGAGAAAGTGACGGTGTTTAACCTACATGGACATCTGTAGTCGAATTATTTGCCAAATTATTAAATGGTGGACTTTAACTGCAGTTTGGCTCTTTCATTCAGGGAATTCATTCATGCCTCAAACAAACGAGATATTTGATTCGAGGAACTGCTGTAAGCGTGTATTTTTCATGCAATGTTTGATACCGCACGGCGAATGAGAGAAAAAAAAACTCAGCATTTCCCGAAAACTTAGATGCACAAGGCAGGTAGCGTCAGAAAGCCGCGTGTGTTATTCCGGTCACTAAATGCGGTGCTAACATTTCTGCACTCGTTAACTTAATTCGATACGAACAAACTGAATAAACAAAGAGCACTGGTCGCTCACTTACCAAATCTGTAGAGACAGGACAATCACCAGCAACTAGAGCCGCGTCTTTATTAAGAGGAGACTACAAGCGAATACAGATTTCAGCGTTTGCAGATGAGAACAGCTCTCAGGTAAACAATAATCCTCCTTAGACACGTAAGTTATTGTTGTCGCGCGTCGCGTACACTGTTAATCCACACGTGATCCAGATAAGCTCTCACAGAGAGAAAATGAAAACGAAACTTAAATGGCAGCAAACTATAAAAGCAACACTTCACGCTTGTTTTGCCAACACAACGTGGCGTCTCTGTCGTCTAAACACAGTAATGAATATTAATGAAGTTGCACAATAGAGCGCGCTGATTGGTTTGAACCAAGCCTTACTCATGCATTAATGCATCACACTGTAAGACATAATAAGACTCACTCTGGCACAGACGTCCAGTCTGCACGCTGGAATACACGCTATTATGTCATGACCGTGACGCAGCTTCAAAAATTAGTTTCAAACCGGAAGTACGAATTTGCTTGAAATAACGCAAAAACAACCAATTTACACTTTTTAGTGAAATATAGGTGTCCTAATAGTGTTTTTAGCAGTGTGGGACACATATACCACTGTCAACAGCTCAACACATGTGTTTTGGTGTTTCGTGACCCTTTAAATAAAAACATGATGCTTGCTATAAATTATAGGCTACGGTATTTGAGCATTTGTAATGACATTGATCTGATCTCTTGTGGTCCTGCTTATGATTATTAGGATTTTTCTTTGAAATCTGTACTAGGCTGCCACTATTGACCCTTATCGTTGGTAAAATAACCTGCTTTTTAGCAAAGCCTGATGTTTTCCTGCAGGTTTGATGCAGACTTAACTAAACCAAACCGAGGCTAGTTTTATTTAATAAACATTTCCTTGCCTAAACTTGATGCGAGTGCGATGGAGAAACTGAAAGCATGTCTGAACAATTATTTATTGTCTGAAAATTGATCTTTTTAAAAACTAATTTCACGTGGTGCAGTTTGTTGGTTATTTTAATGTATTTTTGTTGGTCAGTTATCCACAAAATAAACAACAATATTTGAGGTGAAGTTCAAAACAAGGCCCGCTTATATGCTTCAGCGCACAAACTGACAAACAGCTCTGTTAAATAAAATAGTAATATAAGCAGAGATGTATAAAGTACTAGAGTCCCAGACTTAAGTAAAAGTACAAGTGCTCTTTAAAAAAAGTGACTTGAGTAGAAGTAGAAGTGCTCTTTAAGCACCATACTTAAGTGGAAATACTAAAGTATTCAACATGTTTTGTACTGAAGTATTTCAAGTAGTTTATTTTAAAATTTACTACTCAAGTACTGAAAGTAAAAGTACAGTATTGTGTAATGTATTTAATAAAGAAAGCAGAAAATAAGACATGGCTTACGATACTGTTTTTCTCTCGCGCTTGAACCACAGATCTGACAGATTATAACCGCTTTAGCACACACCTTTCAAAGTTGTGTGTCACAAAAACACTCCGTAATCCACTTAATGCGCTATTGAAACCCTTTTTCGGATCGCAAATTACTGGTAGTAAACGCCGTAAACGGAAGTTGTAAACATTCTACCGGAAGACGCTGGTCACTATGGCGCCTCCATGCAGCAGCCAAGAAAAAGCTCTATAATTGTAACGAGCAGGGATGTGAATCTACACTGGTCTCACGAATTGGTTTGATTGTGTTTATCATGCCATCGATTTAGTCCAATTCAATATCTCGGTGCATTGACGATGCTTTCCATTAGGGATGTAACGGTATTGTAAATATCGTCATACCGCAATATTAATTTTTTTCGATATTACCGTAGTCGCATGACTCGGTAAAACTATAGGTCTTCTGAGAAAATTTGCTCAGGCGAATGAAGCGAACGGGAGGTAACGAAAACTACAATTCCCATCAGCCCATGCTTGACCATCATCCCTTGCGGTCTGTTGTCGCTACAGATACAGTAATGCGGAAATGGAGTGTGCTGCTAGAAGCGGGGATCAAAAAGAGCTGGTAATGATCGAACCTAAAGCGGGTGTTGTCGCCGTGCGCCGTGCGTACTGAATAGCGGTGTTGTCGCGCGAGTTCTTATCAGCTGTGTTGTCGCGCGAGTTCTTATCAGCTGTGTTGTCGCGCGCGTACTGAATAGCTGTGTTGTCGCGCGAGTTCTTATCAGCTGTGTTGTCGCGCGCGTACTGAATAGCGGTGTTGTCGCGCGAGTTCTTATCAGCTGTGTTGTCGCGCGAGTTCTTATCAGCTGTGTTGTCGCGTGAGTTCTTATCAGCTGTGTTGTCGCGCGCGTACTGAATAGCGGTGTTGTCGCGCGCGTACTGAATAGCGGTGTTGTCGCGCGAGTTCTTATCAGCGGTGTTGTCGCGCGAGTTCTTATCAGCTGTGTTGTCGCGCGAGTTCTTATCAGCTGTGTTGTCGCGCGAGTTCTTATCAGCTGTGTTGTCGCGCGCGTACTGAATAGCGGTGTTGTCGCGCGAGTTCTTATCAGCGGTGTTGTCGCGCGAGTTCTTATCAGCGGTGTTGTCGCGCGAGTTCTTATCAGCTGTGTTGTCGCGCGAGTTCTTATCAGCTGTGTTGTCGCGCGAGTTCTTATCAGCTGTGTTGTCGCGCGAGTTCTTATCAGCTGTGTTGTCGCGCGAGTTCTTATCAGCTGTGTTGTTGTGCGCGTACTGAATAGCGGTGTTGTCGCGCGAGTTCTTATCAGCTGTGTTGTCGCGCGAGTTCTTATCAGCTGTGTTGTCGCGCGCGTACTGAATAGCGGTGTTGTCAGCACACAATTCAGATTGATGCAGACATGAGACCTCTATCTCACTCATGGTTTGTCCTCTCAAGTGGGGGAAAGACAATGCACAACGTTACCCACTGCTGTCAACCTGGGCCAAGTCATATCTCTCTTGTCCCAGAAACCTCAGTCCCAAATGAGAGGGTTTTTTCTGTTGCAGGGGACATTGTAAATACCCAGAAATACCAGCATTTACCAGATTATATTTATATGATAATTTTCCTTTAAACCCATCTCTATCTAAGTGAGTGATTAAATGTTGAATGTGATGAGTTTTCAACACTACTAAATTGAAACTTTATTTTTTTACATGGTTTAATATTTTTTTGTTATTAAAATTGAAGTTCCGGTTTCAAAGCTAACAGATAGATGGCTAATTTGTATGTCATTGACACTTTTGGCACTTTTTTGGAGTTTTTTCATAAGTTTTGTTTTTTCCTGTAAATGATTCAATAAATACCGTACCGTGACATTCATACCGAGGTATTACCGTACCGTGAAATTCTGATACCGTTACATCCCTACTTTCCATACATAATTGGATTTTTTCTTCACAACACAAGATTTTTTTTTTTAATTAAAATCTATAAATATATTTACATTTATATATTAATTGTAATAATTTTGTTCTTTAATACAGCAGAAAGATATATGAACTGTACCCTTAATTTGACCTGCTCAAATAAAAACACTCTTTAGCATTTACAGCAAATAAACTGATGTAAATATGATCCCGCTTGCTTTTTGAGCGCTGACAGGCGAGGTCTCACACCCCTATGATTGGTTATTGTCTTCATCTGCTCAACAGAAAGGCTGCGATCGGCTTTAGAAATGAAATCGTTGTTCACCGATGACAGGAAGAACAGCCATGGTTACAGTCTGTATGCGCATAACACGCGGTTATCACAGGTTATAGACACAGTGGAGAAAACTTGCTCCTCAGGCACGCTCGTGTCAGGATCCACAAGAATTGCTTTAACAGTCAAGAGGAGAGAAGTCACCTCATAGACATTCATATCGGACTTGAAGCCAATGGAAGTCTTTTATCCACTCTTGGTAAAGTGTAGATGGTGGATTAACATTCAGCACATGATCACGAGTAAGATGTGTCATTATTTGTAACTTTAGATGTCATGGTTTCTAAAACACAATCTGTCAGTGTCATCTTCATTCTCATCTTCAGCGCTTTAGTTTTTCGCGGTAGCAGCTCTCTCTGACATCCCAAGCCTGAAGGCGTTGACTGAGTGATTGACAGCTGATATTTTAGTGCTAGAGCAGTGGGCCAATAAGAAGAGCGCGAAGGCGGGGCAAGCATTACGGACTTGGCTTTGTTTACTGCAGCAAGTTGACATGACGACTGTTTTAAACCGTTCCTGAGCGCTGCGTTACGCGTTTCAAGCAAGTGTGCCGCAAGCCTGCGTTTGAGTGAAGGTCTCGGCCGTTAGATCGCCCCCTGGGGGCTGGCTGCAGTACAAGTCATTAAGCCCGCCTCCTCCGTGTTAATGAAGGAGACTTGAACCCAAATAAAAAAATGTATTACACTTGCAATAAAATATCCCGAAAGATGGTTCTGGTGGATTAAGGCACTGATTATTGTGCTGAAATAGGTGCAGATCTTCATTTTCGTAAACAGTTTGTTTTTAGCAGTAATTTAATGCTGGGCGTGTCATCGTGATTGACAGCTGTGATTGACAGTGTCTCAAAGCAGCGCGTCTGAGCTTCGGCAGGAGACTGAAGTGTTATTATTCGATTTCTGTGTTATTTTACCATGACAACATGAGTTCAGCAGTAAACTACAGTTTCTGACATACATGATCTGGTGGAACTCTGTTTATTCACTAAGGTCAAGGCTTTTTTCGGGCTTTATTAGTTTGCTGATACACGCCTAACCACCCAGATAGCAAAATACACTCGGGCCAGTTCCGGCTAGATTCTCGCCTGCCGGAGGCATACCCCTCAGACTGACTACCTCTGCTGGACCTACTCCGGATGCCTGGACTCACTGCCCGATTCCAGCCCGAGTCAATTGAGCCAGATGCGGCGGCCGAGCGAGCCGGCGCTGCCGCATGCGAGCCGGAATCAACCCGCGATGCTGCGAGTATGTTATGCGCTGCGGCCCGGAGCTGGCGCGATTGAATATATAAAACCCTCATATTTGTTAACGTTATTACATCCATTTGTGTTGATATGACAGCAAACGCATGCTGAGAAGTTCGGGGGGCGTGGTTGATTTTACATAAAGCGTTTGATTGGAAGCTCGACTCCGCTCATTTTCGCGGCTCCTCCTCTGGCTCCAATAGACAGTCCTTCTGCGCATGTCAAGGCTCCAATTTCAGCCGTCTTTTGCGACGGTTTGTGCCCGTCAAGCAGGCGTTTTGCCCTCAAGGTGTTCAATGGGAAAAGGGGCTGTCGCGTCATCCATATTTTTTACAGTCATTGGTTTCATGTTGCAGAGATGCATTCTGTGTGAATGTCTCCCGAATCCGCGCATGTGGTGAACATTTTGCAGTAAAAACTGGTCGCACACAACAATTTTAAGCACTCGCAGAAATGCTCCCAAATATATTTTGAAGTCACATAGATAAAATTTCGGGGGCATACGCGACCAAACTGGTCGCAATTTCGAGCCCTGCATGAACCTCATAGTGAAGTGTTACCGAATGATTGAACATGTCTAATTGGTGCGCAGGTGAAGGAGACGATTAAAGAGAACATCAAGGAGCACCTGCTGGATGAAGATGAGGATGAGGAGGAGGAGCAGCGGCGGCGCGAGGAGAAGTCCAAATCTCTGAGTCTGCTGGAGTACAACCTGACCATGGACACGGCCAAACTCTTCATGTCCTGCCTGCACGCCTGGGGCCTGAACGCGGAGCTGGACGAGGTGTGCGTGAGCCGGCTGGGAATGCTGCGCCCACACACTCCCATCTCCTTCGGGCTGATCTCGCGCGGCGGGCACATGTCGCTGATGCTGCCCACGTTTAAGGACTCTCTGCTGCGGGCGCTGGCTCTGGCGCAGGGGGCTGTCGAGGGCCGGAAGCTGTCCGTGTCGGAGGTGGTGGGCAAGGGGACGTACGGCGTGTCCAGAGCTGTGACCACACAACACCTGCTGTCTGTCATCTCTCTGGCCAACACACTGATGGGCATGACCAACGCCACCTTCATCGGGGAGCACATGAAGAAGGCACCCGCCAGGTCAGATACACACACATATTCATACATAGACACACACACACACACACTGATATATCTACCGTATATACTCACAGACATGCACACAAATACACACACACACATGCGCGTGCACAAACCTCCTCACATATATGAATACACACATACACACACATACATATGATCAGATACACGAACATCCCAGAATAGCAACTCTCTGCTCCAATAAAAAGTGCAGAAAGAAAGTAAACAACCTTCAAGCAGCAGGCGTACACTGGCGGACGCAGAGAGAAACGTAGCCCCGCTGTTTCTATTGTTTACCTGTGTTTTCTTTTGCGTATCTGGGGGCTTTAATTTTCTCGGGCTCCCAGGGGTCAGATGGAGGTTCAGGTGCGAGTGCGGACCGCCAGATAGAGGGTCTCAAAGCATGAAGCATCTCATTTAGAGCCAGGGGGACAACTCTGAACACTCGTACCCAGGGTCCGGAGCCGTTTTCTGGTCATGATGGCCCGGCGGGGTGCCAGAGACTGAAGGGTATCGAGTTTTTCTGGCGTAGCGCGGCCGCTGTTTTGTTTGCTGATCGTTGCGCTTGTCCGCAGGTGAGAGATTTTAGTGTCGTGCTCTGCAGGTGAAATAACGGGCGGCCGCAACACGTGAAACTCGTCAATATGCTCCGTCAATGTGTTTGTGAATCATGTTTAGATTGAAGGGCAGCGCCAACGATTGCTTTCAAAGTCACAGCTTTACCTTCAAATAACTTTTAGCAGTCAATATAATCAGAATTTCGCTTTTGGAGCTTTATTTATCTTTTTACATTCATACTAAATGTTTGGAATTGATCTAACAACAACTTTGAAATAAAATGTTTGTTTCTTTTAGTGGAACATAGTAAAAGTTATAATATAAATCAATAAATATATGTAATTATAATATAAATTAAATGAATGGTCTAATTATAGTAATAGTCTGGCCAATGTGTTTTTTTTTTTTTTCCAAAAAATGTAATGGCTGTTTTGTTGTGTTTACGCAAACTGTGCTTCATCTGATTAAAATGAAAAAGTAAACGCAATAAAGAAAACAAATTAATCTAAACTGCTTATTTAATCTTGCATTGAAAATCGACACTGACTGAAATTTAAATATAATATATGTTAAGTTATATAAATGGCAACAAAAACTGAATTAAATGAATTGCATGGTAAGGATATTGCATATTGCATATTTTAAAATATAGTTTTTCTGATTGACATAAAATAGAATAAAAGAACTTACATGAAAATGATTAACTCAAAAAATTGTGTTACTGTTTAAGTTGTGCTTGCTTCAGCTGTAATATAAAATAAAATAATATAATATAATATAATAATATAATATAATATAATATAATAGCTGAAAATAAAATGAACAAATGAATATAATATAATATGATATAATATAATATAATATAATATAATATAATATAATATAATATAATATAATATAATATAATATAATATAATATAATATAATAGCTAAAAATAAAATGAACAAATGAATATAATATAATATAATATAATATAATATAATATAATATAATATAATATGACATAATATAATATAATATAATATAATATAATATAATATAATATAATATAATATAATATAATATAATATAATATAATATAATATAATATAATAGCTAAAAATAAAATGAACAAATGAATATAATATAATATAATATAATATAATATAATATGACATAATATAATATAATATAATATAATATAATATAATATAATATAATATAATATAATATAATATAATAGCTAAAAATAAAATGAACAAATGAATATAATATAATATAATATAATATTATATAATATAATATGACATAATATAATATAATATAATATAATATGATATAATATAATATAATATAATATAATATAATATAATATAATATAATATAATATAATATAATATAATATAATAGCTGAAAATAAAATGAACAAATGAATATAATATGATATAATATAATATAATATAATATAATAGCTGAAAATAAAATGAACAAATGAATATAATATGATATAATATAATATAATATAATATAATAGCTGAAAATAACATGAACAAATGAATATAATATGATATAATATAATATAATATAATATGATGTAATATCATATAGCTAAAAAGAAAATGAATAAATATAATATAATATAATATAATAGCTGAAAATAACATGAACAAATGAATATAATATAATATGATATACTAATAATATAATATAATATAATAATATTCATTCATCATCTTCTATTCTAATAAGACTTGATTCTGTATATCATGCTTTACTATGTTTTATTACAAATGCAAAATCCCGTACTCATCATTGCATTGTGAATGAGATGATGGGCTGGACATCACTAGCTGTACGCAGAACGGCAACAGATCTGGTTCATTCATTCGTTTGTTTTCTTTTGTCTTAGTTCCTTTAGTTTATTTATCAGGGGTTGCCACAGCAGAATGAACCACCAACTATTCCAGCATATGAATGAAATGATGTTATGTGGTGTATTTTAGATTTATTTTACTCTATGGCTGTTACCTTGGCCTGGTCTCTGTTGTAAAGGAGATTTTAAACCTCAATGAGACTTCCTGGTTAAATAAAGGAAAAATAAAATAAAATTCCCAGATATTTTGCAGTGTAGATGGTAAAAGCTGAGTGATTGAGAGAAAGCAGAGAGGAGATGTGCTTGTTATCTGCTCAGTGTTTGATTTGTGCAGCGTTTCTGCTGCTGGATCAGGTTTCTGCAGCTCTGATCAATTCTCTCTCTCTCTGTGTGTGTGTGTGTCTCTGTGTGTGTGTGTGTGTCTGTGTGTGTAACGAGAGTCAGTCCTCGTTACAGCTTCAGATGAGTCTCCGCTTCATAAAGAGAGCAGAAAAACAGCCTTTCACTCGCTCAGAAGCTGCAAAAGACACTAAACTCCTCCACAAACAGCAGTGATGAACTCTCTCAGCTTTTATTTTGGCTCCTGCGTCTCTGGCTGTAAAGCTGTATTGACGAGTTATTGAAAAGGCCATCTTTCTGTTCATTTCTGCTGGGCGCTGCGCAAACTTCAGGAAAAGCTGTCCATAAATGTGAAATTGCTTCATAAAAATCAGGTTAAATTTCGCTCAGAGCTAGAGGGATAAATATA